TCAAATGCTTTGGAAAATAGCTTGACCCCCTTCCTCCTCCCTGTGGCAGCCCCTCAGATATTGGAAGACTGCTCTCCTGTCTCCCCTGGTCCTTCTCTTCACTAGACTAGCCAGGCCCAGTTCCTGCAACCATTCATGATACGTTTTAGCCTCCAGTCCCCTCATCATCCTGGTTGCTCTTCTCTGCACTCTTTCTAGAGTCTCAACATCTTTTTTATAGTGTGGTGACCAAAACTGGATGCAGTACTCTAGGTGTGGTCTTACTAAGGCTTTATAGAGTGGTATTAGTACCTCACTTGATCTTGACTGAAAAACAAAGGAAGTCCAGTTGCCCTTTGAAAAGCCGCTTTGGGACAAACATGGCCTGGATGATTAAGAATCTCCATGGACATGTGTTCTGTACATGCATTCATCATTCATCCATCTGAGGACCTAGTCAGGACAATGTGGATTGCTGGAGTCCATTTTGTCCTCTAATGAGGGTACCCATCAAGGTGTGTATATCGGGATGTGAGGATGACCTTGGGAGACAGGAGGAAGAACCACAATCTTGATAGTGGTCACATTAGAGTCACGGTGGCGCAGCAGTTAGAATGCAGTACTGCAGGCTACTCCCGCTGACTGCTGGCTGACTGCAATTTGGCACTTTGAATCTCACCAGGCTCAAGGTCAACATAGATTCTGATCCTTCCAAGGTGCGTAAAATGAGGACCCAGATTGTTGGGGTTTGCAAGAGGCTGACTCTGTAAACCACTTAGAGAGAGCTGTAAAAGCACTGTAAAGTGGTATATAAGTGCTCTTGCTATAAGAAGAAGATGATGGATTATGACTGCCCGAACAGACTACCTGGTAGGAACTTAGTGGACTTCCTTTGTGTGTTAGGTTGACTATTGTGAGAACAGACTGCTGGACCAAAGAGGCCAAGGGTCCAATCCAATAGTCCCATCAGGACTATATATATATATATTTGGTGGCCATGATATAATGGGAGCTAGTGAGCTGTATGTCAATGCAGTTTCGAAACTGAATTTTCCCACCTGCCATCATCTTCATTTAACGAGCCCATAATCCCTTCCGAGTTGGAGTCTGGGCAACTGAATAGAGCTAGCCGAGTGTTTTACTGGCCGGATGCTCTTCCTGTCACCAATGCAGAGTTCACAGCTATTTACTCATGGCGCCCAGAGAGAGAAATGTCTGCCTCTACCTAAGATGGAACTCCCAGCCTTCTAATTGTGAGTCAAGACCTCCACCTTTAGGCCACCCCACCACTCCTGAATTCTCCCACCTGTAAAGAATGCACATTAAGGAATCTTTCATCTCAGGATGACTTGTATTTTAAAATGTAGAAGAGTTTTGGCAAGGCCCTCCTGATCAAAAAAGCTTTTCTTTTTTTTTCATTCCAAAAAGTCCATATTTTTATTCCAAAATAAAGTGAATGGAAGCCAAATACTCTTTAAGACCCTCTCAAATGCTTTGACTTCTTGATTCCTTAAAATTGTTTGGCGGTGTGGTCTAAAAACTTTCCCCTACAGTCTCATTCATTGCGGTCTTCTTTCTACTAAGAAGGGAGCTTCCAAACCTCTGAACTTGGTTCAGTTCCTGTTGACAGGTTCTCATCTCAGTTCCCCATCCTAACGAACAGCTGTGCAACCCACTGCCACTCCAAACAACGCAATAATAAGTTGCATCGTCTTCCAGCTGGCTTTCCGTGATGATCAGGGACATGGTGTTTGCTGACTTAGAACCAGAAAAACGAGCTGGTGTACCACTGGCCCTGGCGCCGGTGGCATACATTAAGAGCCGTGGAACGTCTTCTGACTTCTGCTGGATCCATAAAGGGGAATTGTTGTCTGTGATGGTTCCGGCACTGTAGCTACATGACAAAACAACTGTCTCTCCTGGGGCTACCAACTCTGGATCTTTCAAGTTCTTCAGCTGCTGGACACTGAGATCTGAAAGAGATTATGAAAGGGTGGGGAAAGAACAGGACTAGATCACAGAGGAAAATACCGAACGGCTGTGTGATTGACACCAGAGCAAGTCATAAGGTGCCTGTGAGGTTTATCCCTCCCTTATCGTAATTTTAAAAATCCCTCACTGAAGGAGGAGAAGATGATGAAGAGCAGAAGGACCCAAGCCATGATGGAAAGGCAGTTAATCTTCTGGAAGGACAGGAATCACTAACTGGCCTTCTCCAAGACCCACTTAAACCCTCAATCAAGTATTGTCAATCCTTCATGCAAATTGATGGCTTTTTAAGTCCAGGCTGTGGATGAGGAGATGCATAAAATCAGCAGATGGCTTTTTGCTGCCCCTTTCAGGTGGAGGTGGAACTGGATTACAGGTGGATTACATTATAATAGCAACAGCCCTTAGACTTATATACCACTTCTCAGTGCTTTACAGCCCTCTCAAAGCACTTTACAGAGTCAGCCTCTTGCAAACCCCAACAATCTGGGTCCTCATTTTTTTAAAAAATATATTTTTATTAATTTTGTTTTGTTACATCGTAAAACATCATGGTACCAACAACCTTCTTGGCATCTATACAGGCTTTTGATTTAAACATAATACATTATATTACATTGGTCTACTACTAAATAATAGCTTTAACTATGATTACTATTCTTATATCTTTATATCATTTACAAAATTTTGTTTTACTTTCTTAAGGGTTGTTTCAATTAACATTTTTGTCTCACTTAGTTCTGTTGGTTTGCCACTTATACCAATGGTTCCACATCGAAAAGAATTCAGAGTCCTCTTTTTCTTTCAGTTTCATTGTTAACATATTCATCTGAGCACTTTTTGTTACTTTGTGTATTAGTTCTTCATTAGGGACATTTGGTGTTTTCCATCTGGGGTCCTCATTTTACCCACCTCGGAAGGACGGAAGGACGAGTCAACCTCGAGCCAGTCAAGATCGAGCTCCTGACTATGGGCAGAGTTTGCCTGCAATACTACATTCTAACCACTGCGCCACCAGAGCTCTTCCTACAAACTCCAATTACCTCTAAATTAGGATAACGGGGCTCTCGCCTCACAATCAGGAGGCTGTGAGTTCGATTCTAGGTAATGGCAGATATTTCTCTCTCCGGGCACAATGAGTAATTATCTGCTGTGAACTCTGCATTGGTGACAGGAAAGGCATCCGGCCACTCAGCTCCATTCAGTTGCCCAGATTCCACCCCAGTAAGGGATTATGGGGTCATTAAAAGACCAAAAAGGAAAGTCATTGGAAAGGTATTAACCAGCTATAAGAAAGGAAGCTGTACAGTGTTGCTATTATTTCCGGATCATGTGTGCTTTTACTCTCTGTAATCACTGGACACTGGGAGCTAAAAGATAAAATGCTTCCAAATTAAGATGGTTGGTTGGTTCCTTCAGACGTTTCATTACTCAAACTAGTTAACATCGTCAGGGCTAGTCCGACACGCACACTCCATTTCAATCATAAAATAGATTTAGTCTCTTCCTAACACTGCAGTGCAGAGTTCTCTGCATCTCTGGAAGTCAAGAAACAAAGAAATGGGCATAAATGTCAAGCTAGAAACGAAATGTGACGATCCTCATACAAGGACCAAGAGAAGAATATGGGATTGCATGTTCCATTCAGTCAGAAACAGAGAGAGATTTTTTTTCCAAAAAAAATAATTCCCAGAGGTACCAGGAACTGAATCACATCTTAGCAATAGATAGAATAAATAGAATAAATAGAATTCTTTACTGGCCAAGTGTGTTGGACACACAAGGAATTTGTCTTGGTGCAAATGCTCTCAGTGTACATAAAAGAAAAGATACATTCGTCAAGAGTCAAGAAATCATAAGGTACAACACTTAATAATAGTCATAGGGTACAATAAGCAATCCAATCATACTAGGAAAAAATCCATATAAATTGTAAAGATACAAGCGACAAAGTTACAGTCATACAGTCACAAGTAGGCGGGGATGGGTGATAAGGAGAGACGAGAAGATTAATAGTAATAGTAGTGCAGACTTTGTAAATAGTTGGACAGAGTTGAGGGAATTATGCTTTGCAGTCTACATCTGAGATAGCTGATGAGTCACCTCTAGTAGTTTCATGGATAGATTATGTGCCTTCAAGCTGGTGTCAAGACAAAGTGACCATTTAGATGGACCTTCTCCAGAACTATCTGTCTCCAACAGGAGAAACTCAAAAGGGTCTCTTTTTAGTAAGGTTTGGGATGGAAACTATGAAAGACCAACAGTGACATCTAGTGTCCAGAGAGTTGCAAGTAAGATGCCCTTTCAGGCGCATGTGTGAAACAGCAAGGGGAACCAACTCCACACGCTCCCCTCTTGGTGGCGGAAGGGAGCAAATAAGGTTGAAAGAAAATGAGATGCATGAGGAGATTCAAAGGTCTACATCGATATGGGTTGCAGGGAGGTAGAAGCTCACCTAAAATGGGGATATGAGAAGACAACAGTGAGAACAATTCATCAATGGAACAGAGATTGTGGATGCTCCATCAATGGAACTCTTTGAGAAGAGACTGGACAGCCATTCATCCAGAATGGTCCAGAATGATGCAGGGTCTCATGCAGGGGTGGGATTCAATTTTTTAACCACCGGTTCTGTGGGCATGGCTTACGTGGTGGGCTGCCTTCAGAGTCGGAGATCAGTGGGGAAGAAGAACAGCTGGAGCCTGTTCCCAATGTGTGCATGCACAGAGGTGCCAGGAGAAGGGAACAGTTAAGGAACAAGGGTCAACTCGGGAGTAAAAGCACAGATGGATGATGAATGGCCCCTCCCATAAGAATAAAGAGGAGGAAAAAGGGAGTGGTGTTTGCAGGAGACAATTAGTTCATTTAATGAGGGTGAAGATTTGCTCCTGACTCCTTGCCGGGTATTTTCTTGTACAGCGTTGCGCTCGAAAGCTATCAGCTTGGCAGCTGTCCATGCCTGATAAGGTCTGTTGTTGTAATTCACCCTTGAAAGACTGTTTCCCAGGACACTGCTGGATGTGAGTGAGAGGAATTCACATTCGCTTAATAAAAAGGGGTTTTCTTAGGACGAGGAGTCTGCTTTGTGATTTTGTGCAGCCTCGGTCAGAACAGAAACCCCCAAGTTCCCGTGTTTTTATTATTTTGTGTCCTATATTCCCCTAAATATATGCCTTTTTGCTCATCAAGGAACAAAAAAATTAAGGCTATTCTATAAGCGAGGAAAAGAGAGGTGGACTTTCAAAAGGAAGATAAACTTTCAGAAGGATAGGATGGCCTTGTCCTCTAACTGTATATCAGCCCTTATTGTCTAATTTCAGTGATACACAGAGGACAACAAAAAGGGAAATGAAACAAAACGAAGGGCTTTTGTCTCACTTCCTCACCTGAATGAATTGCTGTGGAACTCATTATTCATCCAGATGGAGCAATAATAGGTGGCTTCATCTTCACGTAGAGCCCCAGTGATAGTCAAGGACATCATATTCTCTGATCTGGATCCAGAGAAACGTTCTGGAACCCCCGATAGTCTGGAACTGGTGTGATAGATCAATCCTTCAGGTTGTTGCCCAGGAATCTGCTGGGACCATGAAAAGTCGTGGCCATCCCCGAGATTTCCACCATCATATCGGCAAGATATGATGACTGTCCCGCCAGGTGCCACAAATTCTAGGTCCTTCAGGGTCTGCAGTTGTTGAAGGCTGGGATCTGAAGAGGTGCAAAACGTTAGTTGTTCAACACAGGATTTAAAGAACCAACCTCCAAGAATAGCAAACACAGCTAACCAGCAAGACAGCTCTTCTGAATTTAATTCCAGAAAGGGTTGAGCCTCCTTCCAAAGGGATTTCTCTTACCAGCAGAGATCAGAAGAAGAGATGTGAAGAGAAGAAGTGCCTGGGACATGGTGGGAGAACTCAGTGGGCCAATCCCTTCTCTAAAGCACCTGGATTTCCCACTCGACTTCTCTCCACCTCACTTAAAACCCCAAAGAACCTCCTCATGCAAATGTTTTGCTATTCAACTACCCACCCTGTTCTCTGGGAAGCTAATTCAAGAGGGAGCAGTTGCTAAGATATGTGTTGTCTAAAAGTCCATTATTTTGGAGGTGGGAGACAGAAGAAAAGACGTGAATTCATCCTTGAAGAGGTAGAAGGCTTTCTGGAGTTCGTTCCATCCATCTGTTTTAATCTGTAGACACTTTAAAAAGCCATACTAGAGAAAGCAATGCTTGGATGGATTGGGGGAATGTAGACCATACTCACTGATGTTCATCATGGATCATTTCCAGAAGAGGAGATATCTGCTAAAGCCACCATTGTCTGATTTGGTGAGAACATTTAACATGAGATCAATTCAATGCAATGTCTAATCCAGGATAAGTGTACAAATCTTTACAAATAATTCATCGTAGCCTCCTGTAGCCTTGGCACAAACTTGCCCCAGTGAATTATTTTTTTAATCTGTGTCCTCACGCAGTCCCTTTTATCCCAAACTAAGAGTGGCTGACACACCAGGCACACTAGGTGGGCATTCAGCCGGTTCTGACCAGTTCTGGAGAACCGGTAGCGGAAATTTTGAATGGTTTGGAAGAAACGGCCAATATCGCCTCTGACTGGCCCCGCCAACTCCATCTCTTCTCTGCCTCCCATTAAGTCCCAGCTGATCAGCTGGGTCTCCTTTGGTTGCCCTGCACAGGAGAACAGAGCAGGAAAGCAGGTTAGTGGGGTGGGGAGGGAAGGGGGATTTTGCAGTATATTTTTCCCCTGCCATGCCCACCAAGCCACGCCCACAGAACCAGTAGCAAAAAGTTTTGGATCCCACCACTGTTCCTCTTCCATACTCCAGTATCCATCATCCCCCTTAATGGGGACAGACAGATTTTTTTTGCAAGTGGAAACAAGCCAGCAGATGTTTTACTTCAGTCTTTTCAGAACCCCGGGTCAAGGTATGTTGTTTCTTGTTTCAGGCTGAAGAGGCAGAGAGGAGGTTTTTGTCACACTTCCCCATAAGAATTCACCACTGTGCAACATGGTATCTGCACTGTTCCAGCTAGCACAGTAATAATCTGCCTCGTCTCCTTCCTGTGCATCAGTGATGGTCAAAGTGCCTGTGTTCCCAGATCTGGTGGCAGTGAACCGATCCGGGATCCCTTCTCCCCTGTTACTACAGCCACTACAATGGACGTAGCGAGGGACTTCTCCAGATTTCTGTTGAAACCAGTGAACACTCTTGGTGCTCTGAGTTGTTGTGCAGGAGATTGCAATGGTTCCACCTGGGGACACGGATCTGGAGGGAGGCTGAATCCAAGGGGACTGGCCATCAATACCTTTCAAGAGAGTCGGTGGGAGAGAAAGAGTGAGGGGAGAGAAAGAAAGAATCACTCTTAAACTGATGCATCTTCCTTGGCTCTTAGAGATTTGCAAGGGATCTAGTTCTTATGAGAATGACAAGAAGATTCCCACTTGGCCCAGGGAAATTTACCTGTGAGGTAAGTGAGGAGTGCAAGAAAGACCACAGCCCAACCCATGGCCAACTTTGTCAAGGAATATCTGTCCAGGGAGGATGATTAGAACCAAATCTTCCCCTTTCCTTTAAATGCCTTGAGTTCACCTCCTCATGCAAATGAGATCTGCACTCATTGGTTCTCCTAGAATAATTCCCCCAAACCATAGTGTTGTCTATTTGTCTAGTTTAGCCAGTGACCAAGGGAAACATTTGCATGGACCAGATTTGGAAATGGAGGAAGAATTAAAAGGTCTCAGTGCCGGATCACCCTGTGGTAGATAAGGGCAACCTTCCAGAGTTGGTATTCAGCCAGTTCTGACCTGTTCTGGAGAACTGGTAGCAGAAATTTTGAGTAGTTTGGACAACCAGCAAATCCCACCTCTGACTGGCCCCGCCTCCATTTCTTCTCTGCCTCCTGAGTCCCAGCTGATCGGCTGGGTTCTTCTTTGGTTGCCCTGCACAGGAGAACAGAGCTGGGAAGCAGGTTAGTGGGGTGGGGAGGGAATGGGGATTTTACATTATCCTTCCCCTGCCATGTCCACCAAGCCACACCATGTCCACCAAGCCACGCCTACAGAACTGATAGTAAAAAAAAAAATGAATCCCACCCCTGGAAACTTCTATATTTAAACCCTCTACTTGGTTTCAGGATCTACTCTTTTATCTGAGGAGATATTCCAAAGCCACTTGTTTTCAGAATACACACTTACTCTGGAGAGATATTAGAAGTTATAACTTGTGGTTGCTATGAGGCCCATTATAGTGAATGCAGAAATTCCATAGAGCAACTAAGCCAAGGCGTTGTGGTAAAAGATGGCTTTCACATTTCCAGTGGGTGGTACAATTCTCCAAGAAAGCAAATACTGGCATGCTTGCTCAGCTCCATATCTGATGCAGGAGAACCACACAGGAGTGTGAAATTTTTTTAGTAAGAGCTCATCCCTACATCCTTCAGACATGCCACAAACCTGTCCCTGTGACAGCTTTTTTTTTTTTAGTGTCCTGTCCTCCTACAATCCTTTTGACCCTTCCTCCTGTTCAGTGCTAAACCAGCTGTTCCTTCTCCCATTTTTCATCTGTTCCTTTCACAGTTTCTGCTCAGACCATAAGAGCCCTGGGCCTGTCTGCTTTCCATGAGCTCTTCTCTCCGGTGCCTCCCTGGAAGAGACTAAACCTACAAGTCTTTCTCTCTGGCATCTTCCGCTCAACTGGCCACAGTCACAGATCAAGGGTTGTCAAGTTCTGAGAACCAACCTGAGAACCAATCAACCAAATCCTCTCTTAGCCCAGGAAATACGTTTTTTTAACCTTTGCAGTAAGTGAGGAGCACAAGGAGGACCACAGCCCAACCCATGGTCAACATTTGGCAAGGAATGTCCTAGGGAAGAAAATTCTAACCTTCTTCAGAACTTCTCTTTGCCTTTCTTTAAATTCCCTTGCTTTCTCCTTTCATGCAAATGAGATCTGAACTCATTGGTTCTACTAGTATATTTCATTCCCCAAAAGCATTAGGATGTTTTCTAGTTTAGCCTATGACCAGAGGAAACATTTCCATAGGGGAGATTTGAAACTGGGAGGAATTATCATTATAATTGAAATGGAAATGACAAATGAAATTGTCAGACTCTACTTAATGCCAACTTGTAAAACCTAATTTACAATTATAATAAAACCAAGAGCATAATATTTGTTTTTTCAAAATGAAAAATAAGTAAAACCTCCAGTTTAGGGGAAAACATACAGGCTATAAGGCCAATCATAAGAAATCCTCTCTCTTTTTCTTTTAATGTTTGGAACAATCCACCTGAAGTAGAATTGGTGGATTGGCCCACTTCCAAACAAGTGTTGAAGCACCTGCAAATCATCTCTAGCTACTCCAACGTCACGTCTTCTCCTTTCAAAATGTGGACTTACAGCACAGGGGGGACTGAGGCCAAGGATCTCTGGGCTTCCCTTGCACCCTTCTCCTCCACACTCCCATGACCATCGTCCCCTTGCTGGACACTGAGAGATTCTATGCAGAAGACGATGAACTTGCAAGAATTTCTCTCCTGCATCATCAGCTCAAACGTCCCCAGTCATAGATCAAGGGATGTTGCATGTGGTTTCAGTCTCGAGAGGAAGAATGAAAGTTTTTGTCGCACTTCCCCATAAGAATTCACCACCGTGCAACGCAGT